GCCTGGAGTGCCGATGTGGCAGCTGTGGTCATGCAGGAAGGGTTGGCTCATGTCTGCCTGGTCACTCCAAGCATGACGCTTACCCGTGCCAAGGTGGAGGTGAACATCCCCCGCAAGAGGAAAGGAAACTGCAGTCAGCATGACCGGGCCCTGGAAAGGTTTTACGAACAGGTGGTGCAAGCCATCCAGCGGCATATCAACTTTGAGGTGGTGAAGTGTGTGCTGGTGGCTAGCCCAGGCTTTGTACGGGAGCAGTTTTGTGACTACATGTTCCAGCAGGCAGTCAAGACCGACAACAAACTTCTGCTAGAGAACAGGTCCAAGTTCCTACAGGTAAGGAGATAAACAGTCTCCAGGTGGGTTAAAAAAGGTTTAAGAGCTTAACAGAAGATAATTGCAGGTGTGATGGGAAACAATTCACTTATGTTCTCTAATAAATTTCTATCTCAGCATCATAAGGAAATTATTTTTAAGCCTCCTAAACTATAAGGTAATTTTGCAGGATACAGGGATGGTTCTTTCCTAGGATACCTTAATGTGGAGTAGAGAAAGTATTAAATATTTAAAACTCCCTATAAGGACGTATTTAATCTTCAATTAAGAGTGAAGTACAAGTTGGAAAATAGTTTAACTGTAGTGTTAATTTATCATACTGAATAGCATGCATGTTTAATAACAACATTCTAAAGCTTTTTAAATAAAAAAAAAAGTACCTGGATGTGATAGAAGTTGTTAATTGTTGTGTTAGTTTTGTACTACATAGGTAAAGATTATGCAGACCATCGCATTTTTTCCAGTTCCTTAGTCATGTCATTGATTGAGTAGGTGGGGTGTTTTGCCTTTCACTGAAATAGGCAAACTCGGAGCCTAAAATAAGTTTTCCTTTTCATGAGGATACTTGTATCATTTTTTAATTGGACTGGGCCTGTAATCTAATGCTTGCAAAAGGCAGGGGGTGGGAGGTGGGCAGGCGGCGAATTGTGTCCCAGTACTTCATGGTCACAACGTTTAGGAGACAAATTGCACCAAGAAGCCTCTTTCTGCATTTGTAGCAAAGAGATAATAGTGAGTGTGAAAAGTTTTTATGTATTTCACAGCTTTGCAATCATAGTTGCTATGCAGTTGTGCAGGTCTTCATGCTTTTTCCCTCTGTCTGCAGTCTGAAGAGGTCTTCCTCTTCTTGAATGCTTTAAAAGGAAGAGGCTTAAGTCTCATTTTCATAGTAGTTTCAAGTGGCCCTAATTTGGGGACTGTCTGCAACAGCTTGCATATTTAACCCAGTCTTTGAATAAGAGAAACAGCTTTCCTGTACTTCTTAAAATACAATTTAAAGGATTTGGTCTAGGCTTGGGGTTGCAGGAGTGATCCTTTAAGAAAAGCATTATGTAGGTTTCAAGCAAGAGATAACTTCCTTGAATAATTATCAAGATAAATATGTTTAGTGGAAAATGCTTGTGATTGGCCAATCAAGAAAATGGTCCTTTTTATTTAAAAAAAAAACCAAACAAAACACACAACAAACCTTTGACTTTTTTTACTCTAGGTCCACTCTTCTTCGGGACATAAATATGCATTGAAGGAAGCCCTCTGCGACCCAGCTGTAACTAGCCGTCTCTCTGACACTAAGGCAGCTGGTGAGGTCAAAGCCTTAGATGACTTCTATAAAATGCTGCAACATGAGCCTGACCGGGCTTTTTACGGTCTAAAACATGTGGAGAAGGCCAACGAAGCCATGGCCATTGATACCTTGCTGATCAGTGATGAGCTTTTCCGCCACCAGGATGTGGCTACACGTGCTCGATATGTTAAATTGGTAGATAGCGTACGGGAGAACATGGGCATAGTACGCATTTTCTCCAGCCTTCATGTGTCTGGAGAGCAGCTTGGCCAGCTGACAGGGGTGGCAGCCATCCTGCGCTTTCCTGTTGCTGAGCTCTCTGACCAGGAAGATGAATCTAGCTCTGAAGAGGATTGATAACAGTGACTTCATTACACAGTTTCTCTTCCAAGTCATGTTGAAATGACATTAAAGGCCCTCCCTTCCTAAATGCTGTGTGCAGATTGCCATGACATGTAATTTAAGTTTTTGATAGTATTTCTTACAGTATATAGCTCTGCTCAGCACACTAGGGGATATCTGTTTTACGGTACTGATTATTGGTATACTGTTCATTGGAGCTGACTGTGTTTGCAAGTTACATGCTGGATCTCCAGCAATACAAGAAACTAATTTGACTCCCCAAAGTTGTACATTCTACATGTTAAGGCAGACTGGCAGCTTAGCATTTTGGAATGTGTATGAGAAAGATGATAAACTAAGAGGGACAAAACTATGCCAGACTGTCTATTTCAGACCATACTGCAAAACAAATGTAAACTTCTTCATGCAAGACCTATCAAAACTGTGCTTGATCTTCTTAGGAACTCGCCATTCCTCCTCAGATGTGGCAAATGAGTAGGATCAACGTCATCTGTTAGGGGGGTTTTTTGGTATTATGAGTCGAACCACCTTAATATTTCTGTGAAACACTTAAAGCAATCTTTCAGAAACCAGACCCTTTAAACTAACCGTTTCCTCCCTAATATAATAATTAGATGCAAGATAAATTGTGAAGCTCAGTGTACCCATTTCGGTTATCTTTCTGAATGCTGTTACCTGGGGGTTATGTCGTGAAGGCTAACAAGGTATGACTTATCTTGTCATTGACTGTGTTCTGATGAATTGGCATTATTTAGCACCCAGTTCTGAAAAGGTATATGAAAAGGCTTACAAAATCAGGACCATAGTTTCCATGAGGTATCTTCTGATAACAAGTAGTAGTAGTTTAAATTCATAATCTGGTATTTGTCTGTGTGTGTACCTCTTAAAAAATATGTAAACTGTGATATAGAAGTAAGGATTACAAACTTGTAAATTGAACTTCAGCTTAAGTTAATGACAACCATAAAACTCAAAATTGCTTTTCCAGTTATGTGATCTGCTCAAAGTGTTGAGAAGCACTGTAATTTTTATTTCTTCACTGGACAGTAAATCTTAGGCTGAGGAAGCAGAAACTGCTTTCAGTTTCTGACATACCTGCAAGAGGATTGTTCAGTTTAAACCAGCGTTTGATGTAATACATCAATAATAATTACAATGAGTGTGAATAAGCATTGCTTTCTCAAATAGGCAGGAGGGGAACAGGAGAGAGTTGCCAAAAATAAATTTCATTTAAGAAAACCATGGAAGACTTCTGAAATACAGAAAGGGACATAACAGTGGAAGATTAAAAACACCAAAACTTTTAGTCTGGGTATAGAATGCTTTTAGAAAAGGCATTTTTAGTGGTACTCCCTATGTTGATGTGTGCCAGCTCTGTGAATTTGGTGTTCTCTATTGCTAGCTGAAACATCAGTCTAAACTCCTTGATAGAGAAGTACCTTTGGGTTAAAAGCCATGCTCCCTTTTCCCATAATCCACACAGTCTAAGGAGTGTATGAGTAGAACTTACATTAGAGCTGTACTTCATTAACACTTTGATTCTTCACTCACTGAAGACAAGCTCATTAAAACAGTTGTTTAGAGTAAGCTTGCACAAATAAGCTATGTTATTTGGGCTTTACCTTTTTGTCTTGAATAGTGTTGAGTGCCAAAAATGATAGAATGCTCAGGTGGGCTTGTTTCAGCAGTTGGGACTGGTTAAATTAAAATTTCTTTATTTTTCTCTTAAAAATCTGACTAAGCTGATTATACATTTTGCCAGCTAGAAAGCACCCTGATCACTGCTATATATGGAGTTAAATGTAAAGAACATACAAAGCAGATATAAGAATCTGACCTTCAATAAATATTACTTATATGCAGCAAATTACAGATTTAAACAGGCTCATGATGTCTAAACAAAGTTAATTTAAGATTGACTGGTATGTTATTAGTTCCCTTCTTATAAATAATGCTGATTTGTTGCAAATGTACATAAATGATACTTACATTCAAAATTGTAATACACCAGGAAATTTTTAGTTTAATTCTCAGCAAACTGAGAGACAAATCAAACTGGTCCTTGGTTGTGGAATGGTTTGCTATTTTATTAGACCAAACTGATTCCAGTTATTCCATTTTAAATGAGAAATTATGAAGAGTTTTTGCTGTGTACTGTAAGATTACAACGCTAATTCTGCAAGTCTGTATTTTGTGCTTGTGATGATGTATCACCAAGGAAAAGAAGCAGCCATTTTGCTTCTTATTTGTTTTTACTGAGATATAACAGCAAACATCTGGTAAGAAAATATGTTCACATATTTTGTTATTTTCACATATTGAGTTATTTACACTTAGAATTAGAATTCTGCACTGACTTTACAATTTATTAGTATTTTTCTTTTTTTAGCTATTGCTATCATGGCATTAAGTTTCTGAAAGAAATACAGATCTAGTTGCCCAAAGTATGGAAGGGTGGGATTTTTTTTTTTAAGCATTTTTGTAGTAAAGTAAATATACAATCACTATGTAGACATGCATCCTGTTTCAGGAAATGGCTTAAGGGTTTGGGATTGACAGTAGGCTGTGTTTGACAGTTGCAGATGCTTAACTTGGCAAAGTTCCAGGGTTGCTAGGATCTTTTACATTTAAATGAATTTTGAATAGTTGAAGAGTCCATATTGACAAAGATGCATGCTTAACATGGACCTTAATGTCTGTGTGTTGGTAACACTTACGCAGAAGATGTACGTTATTTGGAGATCAACTCAGTAAGTGCTAGAGGCATGGGAAAATATTTTTTGTGTCTTTTCTTTGGAACTAAACATACATCAACTAAAAACTGTCCATAATAGGAAAATTCTTCTCTTGCACCATAAAGTATTTTGTAAATTTGAACAGTGTCTCAATTTAGTTTCTGATTATGTTCTGACATAATTCTGTGAATTAGTAGCATGGTTTATCTTCCAATTTTTCAGTTTTCAAAATAAACGACTACACATTGTAGGACTTCATAACGTTTATTATGTTTGGTAGGAAGAAAGCGTTAAAAAAGTATCTTGAAATCAGCTTGATCCTGAACCCTCCTGTGCTCTTAGTTTTGAAGATTCGAATAAATTCATTTATTTAGGTCACAAAGCCTCTCTTGCAAACTCATAGTTTGGAACAGGCCCCAGTTTGTTAGTTTTGTCACCTTTGGCATTTAAATCCAGTAATTATTATATCAAATTTTTGTTGTTGTTTACCAAATAAAGTTTGATGCAAAACTTTAACCATTCAGGTCTTGGGATTATTGTTACAATTCTTAATTCAATCTCTGACATAGGTCAAGCCTGGGCTTTTTCAGCAGTGGAAAGAGTAAACAGGCTGTGGAGCTTCTTATGTGACAGTTGCCCGAAGAATTGCTTAATATGCATAATGTTTAGTCCTGTCACATTTTTTATGCTTGACTCAACTAGGGCATTGACTTTGATTTGAGGATAACTGCTTGTATGGTACGGAATATAAAGGATGTAAGTGTCTCCAGTCTAACTAGTGCATATTCTCAGTAAACTTCTGAACTTGACTGTTTTAGAAATAGCTTTGCTGTGAAAAAATCGTCTGCTAAGGTATCTTAGCTTAAAACAGAGTGTGAGGGAAAAGGTCTCTGAAATCATACTTGTTTATTCTGTTGTCTGAAAATAATTCTTCCTCTTGTCCCACTTGAGGGCTGTACAAGAAACAGAGGGGATGGCTGATATCAGAGCAGCACTTGCTTCCAAGTCAGTGTCTTTTGGGAAATGCAACACGAAACAGCAGCTTTCAAGCCCTGCCAGTTCTTGTCAGATTTTGCTGTATCGATCTCTAATTTATTGCCCTTTTTTTGGGAAATGCTGTGTTCACAGCCAATGTAATTGCTGTCATGCTGCTGTAATAACTTCTTAGAAGTCAAATTAGAGCTGATCATGAATCCTCTGACAAAATAGCTGTTCCATTAGAGAATCTTAATTAGTTGAAACAAGTCCTCCTTTTTAGGAATGTACATACCAGACTCGATGGGAAGCTTTTTCTCTGGTCCGAAATGGAATTTCTAACCAAAGCCAAGCCTAGAATAGCGAAGAAAGACTAGGGTTTAAGGAGTCATATGGGACACAAGATAGAAAGCTTAAGACCCTTTTCTGTTTTGTTGTTAACACTAGGCTAAAGATGCTCCCTTTTCTGTCAGTGTCTTTGGTAAGTACAATTCTACATTGTATAAGCAAATAAATATTTTTATGTTTTGGCCGAGATAGCTAACCCACAACTGACTTAGATATATCTTGGGATGTGGAAGACGCTTTTCAGATTTCTGATCCGAGTGTGACAGGAAAATGATTGAAAGTTGGGACTATTCCTACCTAAAGTACTCCAGCTGTAGTCTTCATGATTCAGAAAAAAAACCCAAGTGGGGTTACATGTTTCAAAAAGATTTTGGACTTTTATGCCGCCTTAACACAAACTGTTAGACATTTACCTTACTTAGAACAAATGTTTTTAGCTGACTTTTTACTGAAAGGACTTCAGAACAAAGAAATGAAGCACAAAACGTATGTGAAGATATATATATGTGTGTGTGTATAAAGATGCAGTATCCTCAAAGAATGTGGTATTTTCATGTTTTAAAAAAAAAAAAGCTAATGACCTTTAGCTTGTAGTTGCTTTGGTAGCTGAAGGAATGACTCCGGATGTAGGCTTGATTGTTATCTTCAGTCCTCAAGATTTGTTTACAGTAGGAGGAGCTTGGTAGCAAGTGCTACATTTAGGATGTCTGACGGTTGTTGAATGATCATGAATGTTTCCTTCAATGGTTTCTGAAACTCTGAAAGCTGCAGCAGGTTCTGCTGAAGAGAATTACCTCTTCTTTGACCTGCAGTGTTCAGCCTGGTGATTTCAAGTATTTAGTACTGCTGTAGGTATTTTAGTTTAGGTGTGAGAGAAATTAATTAATTGCATTTGCTTATCTTACCCAAATAGTTGCCATAAGACCACTTCCACTCCCTTTGGTAAAGAGAACTGTTTTATCCCGTATAATTTATTCCTCTCTTGAGTGGAAATTGCTGTTCAGCGATAGGGTGGCTAAGAGAAGCTGAAATGGGCTTTCTTCAGATATGGTGCTGGGAGAACATCAGCTGTCTGCCGGTACAGCCATGCCTCCTGGGGCAGCGGCTGCCCTTGCTGCAAGACTGTACCTAGGACCTGCTGGGACAGCAGTGGTGAGAGGCAGAAAAGGAGCAGCTGCCTTATGAGGGAGCTTTTCCAAGTTCCAGAGCTGTAAGGAAAGATGAAAAGCTGTGGTTCAATGGAAAACATGAGATGCTGTCCTGGGCATGCAACTTCTTCCCC